ACCAGGTGGGCCGTATGGTCCGCCGGGTCTCCAACAAGCGGGGCGGATTACGAAGCAGGGATGCAATGCGGCTTGCCCATGCTTTCGTAACGAGTAGAATACTCTACTCGACTCCCTACTTGCACCTACGCAAACACGAGGATGATCAACTCGAGGTCATCCACCGTAAAGTTATCAAGCGGGCTCTCGACCTCCCTATCACCACGTCCAACCAGAGACTTCTGGCCCTAGGCGTGGTGAATACCTACCGGGAACTTCGAGAAGCCCACCTCGTTAACCAATACACGCGCCTTGCACAGACCCATTCCGGTCGCCGCCTCTTGGACCGAATACACATCAAACACGATTACTCTATTGAGGAAAGGGTGAGAGTGCCAGAACCTTGGAGACGCGCCCTCCGGGTCCGACCCCTTCCCCGCAACATGTCCAAAGAAAACCACAGTGGTCGCCGCCAGGCGCGCGCGGAAGCGTTGCAGCGACACTTTGGTCAAGAGGAACACGTGTGCTACGTGGACGTTGCCGGCCCGCGCCATGGGGGGTGGTATACTGCCGCAGTCATACACAACGCAAACACCGTAAACGGGCTCACTTTCAAAGCCTACAGCGCAACACACGCGGAGGAGGTTGCCATCGCTCTGGCTCTCACCTATCCCTCTTCTAAACATATCATCACCGACTCACGAGGGGCCTGTCGGAACTATCAGCTAGGGTGGGCTTCACCGCTTGCTCAGCGCATACTGGAACCTAGCTGCCGATACGTTAATCCAACTCCGCGAAATCTGGTTTGGGCACCCGGTCACCAAGGACTCAGGGGTAACGAACAGGCCGATCAGGCCGCCCGCGCACTCTCTTCCCGGGCTATCTCCCTGTCTTTGGAAGCCTACTCGCAATCAGACAATTCGGCCCTTTCATTCAAAGATATTACCAATTACTACAAGGAGGAGCACCGGCGCTATCCAGACCCTTGTAAGGGACTGCATCGCGCTGACGAGCGCCTCCTTTTAAAACTGTTTACCAATACTGTACTGTGCCCGGCGGTGCTAAAACATTTCAATTCATCCTTTGATGGCACGTGCCAGTTCTGTGGTGAGGTGGCTGACACCTTTCACATCGTCTGGGCGTGCCAGTCTAATCCATCTATCCCCCCCAACCCCAATCCCACGAGAGAGGACTGGGAGGCGGCCCTGCTCGGCTGTCAAGACCTGAAGGCCCAAGAGGCTCTGGTTCAACGTGCGCGGGCGGCGTTGCTTGCCAATGGAGCCCCGGAATAGGGGTTCCACCTAGTGCTGTGAGGGTAGGAGGCCAATAAGGCCCCAACCCAATCACCTCTCTGTAACCATTTAATGGTTATTAAATGTTTTCACCACCACCACCGCGTCTAAGCCAGCGTTTCTAAACCATCCCGCAGAAACAGGCAGAAGACCACAAAATAACGCTGGTCAACAAAGCAACGCTGCTCGTGTGCTCGAGGGTTGGTATTGTTTGGGCACGTCATGCACACGTCACCTCATGGTCGGATGCTGGAGAGGGTGGGGAAGTGATTTGGCTCGCGAAGGCTACGCGGAAGAGCGGCAAGGGTTCGAGCTCGCCTCCTCTCACCCTCGTTTCGCGCCGTTTCAAAAAACCTGTTTTCTCCGCTCGCAATGGACCGATTCGAAAAATTTTTGCATCAAAACGTTCCTCATCGGACACCCAACAACTTCCACTGCCTAACTAAATTCGGAATGGGGCCTTGTGAGTGGCCCTTTAGAAGTCCACCCACTACAAAGCACTCAGGCATACTTAGTCATTATCAGCAGCAGCACTATCAACAATGTGAACAGCTGCATAGGCTCGAGTGTTGCCGTATGGTCCCCTTCGCTGATGCGTAAAAGAAACAATCATGGCGGAAAGGGCACTTTACTGTGCTTGCAATAAGCATTTAATGATACTTTGAAACGGCTAATGTTACGCGCCAGTCACACGTGTCCTTACGGCACGGTTGCGGCACACGGCAAATCAGGTTAGCAGCTCAGAAGACGACGACCCAGCGCTTGAAAGCACAGCGCAAGCGTCTTCAAACTTTTTGGTATAGTTGAAGAATGCAGAAGACGAACTACAATAACAGTAAACAGGCACCTAGAGTGGTTTCGGGAATTGCATGTTTAAATTCAAAAATACTAATCTCGGAGTCATGGACCTCCAATCAGTTTCGGTTTCGTGGGATGTAGGGAGCCTACATGAACGGCCGTTTTTAGGGTGGAGACATCTTAATAAGTGTCTTCAAGAAACTCAGCCAAAACCAGCGGGCAACGGGGCACGCTGTTGCCAGCTTCCACCAAACTCAGCACAGTTTTCCGTGCGCCGCCATTTTGAAGCCAGCCGCCGCTCCCTCCAGCTACGCGAAGTACGGCGCAACAAAAAGGAGCCGACCGAGTGACAGCGGCGGTCTCAGTTCTCAAAGTGGGCGCACGAAGAAATTCGCAGCCCACACACAAACACTTGCGACATAATACTGAGGTTACGCTGACACGAACGCAAGCGTGGCAACAGCTCAGACTAGCGAGCGCGTCTCCGTACGAACGCGCGGACGCGTCCCGTTTGTGGGCTTCCTACTCGCAATGCGTGGACGCAGCAACGACAACTTCGGTTATCTACTCATTCGCGAACACCGCGAAACACATATACGTGTGCCGCAGGAAAAAACAGTGAACGAAATACGCAGTACTCACAGAGCAAATACGAGACGCACTGGTGGGCTCCCAGCCGTCTCGCTTCACTTGAGCCAGCCATAGTTGTCATCGGCCAGGGCTCGCTGGGAAGCGGAACATTCGCACCCCCTTTCTGTTGTGGTTAGTGCAGAGCGGTACGCAGCATCCAGGCATGCTAAGGCTTCACCGGCAGCGTTTAACACGCTACCGCAACGTTCGACGCCGTATTATTGAGAACTAAACGCAGCCGGGCGTAGACGCAGTGCGGGCTCCAAGATGGGGCGACAGCGCGGCGTTGCTGTCTGGCAACATTGTGTTTTGGCGGGTGGCGGTGCGTTGGCGGCATGTAGTGGGTCAAAGGCTGACATCACCTTAAAAACGGCCGTTCATGCAGGCTCCCTAGTGGGATGTGCCGTATAGCGCCACACAACGGCTATATTCTGTAACCATTGCTACGCGCTGACGCGCACTCCCCGAATAAAGAGCACCCTCCCCGTTCTCGGCCTAGCGTGACGTTTCTGTCGGCACTCCCGCGCTAACACGCCCATTGTCTCCGGACGGTGCATTCGGCGGCGATACAACACTCACCATAAAGGCTTTTATGAAACTGCAGTTTTGCAAAAAAAAAAAAACATGATACAATATGCATGGGTCCTTCTGGAAACATTCCGTATTGTGGAAAAATAAAATTAGGAATGCGGACGCATTTTAAAACTATAACACATTTTATAATTTCAATGACAACCCTCCCTCCTGAGTTGACCAAGAGGGGGCACCATCTGCCTTCCCCCCCCCCCCCCCCCTGTGCACATGCCTATGCTGAAAACCACAGGATAGCTTTTACAATGACGCTATCAGACAAATTCATAATGGTGACTTCCAGAAAGCTAACAGGTCATCCACACACATTTTTTTGCGTATATGGACTGGGAAAGTCTAAATTTTGGACAAGTAAGCCCAAACTGATTTGTCAAGAATAAGCTAGTTCTGTCCACATGTATAATTTGTAATGTTTCTGTTTTATAACCTTCCTAATTTTCAAGCCCTATAACATTTTACAAAACCAATCGATTTTTGGCCAATACTCCACAGCGGATGTGAGCCACAGGTATAAGTGAACAAGAACTACGATGCAGATATGACAGTAAAAGCTACAAAAGACGACGGGCACAAAAGTAAGCAAGTCATCATTTAAATTAAGTGACCATAGATGTAATTGATTTTAAAATGAAGGTGAAATACATGTACTTGTTTGAAGTTTCCTGTGGGTGCGCTTAGTAGCAAAAGCAAGCCTTTCGGGAAGTATGCACACATTACCAACATCCTCTTCCCCAAAAATGACACACTGAACAAGCTGGTGGAATATTCCTGTACCACTAATTGACAAGTGGTGAAAGGCACTTTCTGCATGCAAGCAGCACAAAACAACATGGGCAATGGTGGGGGAGGCAGGAAACACATCCCATATAAAGAGTGCATTAAAATGAGAACCAAGCGTCGCAGGGTTGGCGGAAACTTGTTCCAAGACAGACGAGAGATGAATAGCTGTCTGAAGCAGAACCGAAGGAATTGCATACCCATGAATACATAGAGCACTCATTCTGTCTGCTGCTGGGTTTGGCACAGGGTCAAAGTCTCATCCTACCACTGTCACCAGATGTCAGGGTCAGTTAACTAAGCCGTAGTTTACACGTAGTTTGTATTCTGCTCATGATACGTACTAGGAATAGGGGATCAGTGCATGGAGGGCAGGAGTGGAAGAAAAAAAAAGTGTTTTTACAACTGGCTCGAAGCATTTTCCCTGGTAATTGCAGCCTAAGTGGAACGTTGATATCTGACAAACCGACGATGCTGCCACTTTTTTTCGGCTAGTGCGTGACATGTGGCACTCAATCTCGTGTCGTTTGTTTTTGTCCCTGTTTCAATGATACCGTGGCGTAGCAGCTTCGCATGCTGTGCGAAGGTACGTATAATTTGGGTTATAAGAGAGGGTGGGGACAAGAAAGAAGTCAATGCTAATTGAATGAGAGGCAGTGCAACATTTCCAGTCAATTAGGCAAAGTATGCAGAAACGACAGCCGAGCCTTGACTATGCCATTAGTGCACTTATAATACAACATACATTGCACAGGAAAAAAAGGGTGACATCAAAGCATCGTCGAGCTTATAAACAAAGAAATGACACTTCATTGGATCCCGTGAATTCTGCTAACAGCATAAACTGTAGCATGAATGTTGGAATTCATTCACGCAAGACCAGCAGCAAGGCAGCAGAGAGTCGAGTAACCAAAAAATAATGAATAGTGACAATGTTTCCAAAGTCATTCAGTTTATTCAACACAAAACGTGCACAAATTGTGTGACCTGCAGCACTTGTGCAATGATGAAACAAGAGCACTCGTGGTAAAGTGAAACCTACTAGACATAGAAGCAATTGAACTGTCAAGCTGTTTACATATGTATAAAGAAACGCGACACCTTCGGCCTTTGCAGCCGTGAAAGCACCAACACAGAGAATAGGAGCAACAAGTCGCACGGCAGTTTCCTGCATTGGTAGCTACGCAATAAGGGGCTCGCGGCGTGCGAAACACGTCTGCTCTTGTCATGGCTAACAATAATCACTGTGCTTACCTAATCAGACATAGACCGAGCCCAAATGCAAGTCAATCCCTATATGTCCTGGTCCAGAAGATGTAAAGAAAATGTTCTTCAACTATGGATCGGCCCATAATTGCTGATGAACAGAAAACTTTGTACATGACATACTATTGTGTAAGATAAGCATGGCTTATTTACGCTTGCATAAAACCAACTATGTGCCAGTTTCTTTGTCAGCCAAAGCCTGATCTTGGAGATCCGTGTTTTCTCAAATGTTGGTGACAACGGAATCACATACAGTGACCATGGTTGGAGCCATTTTCACTCATGTTTTTTTTTATCAGTTGACTAAAGATCTTGCCTGCATGGCCGCTGTGCGAGACAACGATGACTGAATGAGTTGGAAATGTAGTTGACAGAATTCACAGTTACCTCATAAGTTTCTGTTTGAGATCTCATTGTAATTCATTTTCATAGCACGTCAATTTACTGCACATGTACATACGTAAAGTACCAATGTAAATGAAGCAGCTAGAAGAACAGTGCGAGTGACAGTAGAATTGCATTAGCTAGGGACTTTTGCATGCTTTGGTCGCAAATATAGATAGACAGCTAATTATCGGCATCATTTACAAAAAAAAAAAGAGCGACCATGTTATTCTATGAATGATTTTACGTAAAACACAACCACCACCTCGGCCTACTAAAATGAGTGTTTTTCTTACTTTTGTATATTGCAACATGAATTTATAGGGTGATGAAATGTCCAATACACGAACCCAACTGCTTTTATCGACATGCACCTACTGTACCAGCTATTCTGTTATGACAGTGACACTGCAGCCAAATACGGTGGCTCCAAAACACAGCCGCAACATAATGTACATTCAAACGAATACCGTAACTAAAGGTTTTCTATGGTTGCTCCTTTCAAGCAAAGCAATCGCGTCAGAAGTTGTTACGTATCACTATATCACTTCAAGCCACTTATGGCAGCTTAAATGCAAGATGTATGCAAGTTTATGCATAGAGAAGAATTCAGATTTTTTTGTTTTCACACTGCACATGGAAATCACAGGTTGTCCTCGTAGTACCTTCTGCGACCAAATTGGCCGATGCGGTACGGCGCCGGTGACGAGGTATCGCCATTTCCTCTCTCGTCCTCGTCATCATCGTCCAATCGCAGTGAACCGATCGAAGTCCCTTCTAGAAAGGTGTCTGTAAATCCGTCCTCCTCCGACACCAACCGGATACTATCGCCACCTCCAAATGAAGAATCCAGAAGCAAAATATCCTGCTCAACCACCGAGTCGGAAGCTGTAGGACTTGTGGTTTCGGCAAGGCCGGCACTTTGCCCCACATTCTCGGCTTCATCATGCACTGGACGCTCCGTGGCGTTGCACTCTCCCGGTTGCTGAGGTGGGACTCCGACAGCCGTGTCGTGCACCGATTCCTCGAGTCTGATTCCCGCTATCCCTTTCTTGGGGACGCTAGCTAGATCCCGCTTCACTCGCCGTCGCCGAGATAAATCATTCCTGCGCACTTGCACCATCTGTTCGAAGTCGATGATGTAGAGGAAGCCCGCAATCAGTACTTCGCACCTGCGAAAATGCATCGCGAAATTCAAATAAGAGAGGCAAAAGGTATGTAGCTCTAAAGAGCAACGTGCTGAACTGCACCATCTAATGAAACAGGTACAAACTTCGATTGACTGATAAACCCTAATTACCTCAAGAAACAGAATTTTTTTTTATATTGACACATTGACAGGGGTGCACCAGCCAAAATAAAATTTGGAGCAATTTTTGAAGCAGCAAGATCTTACTTTTGGAGCACTGAAATCCAACTTTGGAGCAGGTTACGGGGAAAAAACATTCAATTTTATCATGAAAGAGCAAACTTGGAGCAGCATGAAAAAACTTACATTTAGAAAAAAAATATATGTACAGACCATTCAACATTCCCTAAATCATGCAGAGTGAATATGAACCCTGCTATTTTTATAAAAGTAGTATTTTGAACCACCCCAGACATCCAAACAATGATAAAGACCACATCAGCATTTGCTGTGCCTGTCAAATCCTTTGACAGACTGAGCATTCAGATGTGCATCTGCCGAGTTGGTGCTCTTGAGATTTGGGAGATTTGTAAAACTCAAGAGTACAAGTGGCGAAAAAAAAAATACCGGCGCACAGTACTTTTAGATTTTTTAGAGCTGCAGAAATGTAATTCAGTGCCCAATGATTGCTAGTAAGTTTGTTAGACGTCAGTGATCATATTAGTACTCACCGTTATGCGACGTATATACATGTGTAATTGAACAAACTGTGATATGTCCTGTGAATAGTGCTAACAGCCCCTTCCAAATCTTAAAGCGCTTTTTTGCACGCCACCGATGTACGATGGCAAAGCTGACTTAAGTGGGAAACACATGGTGCGAATACGGATGCGAATTGCCGTACGGCTGTTCGTGCCAGCAGCCGCATCTGACAAACATTTAACAGGATCCCACAGCGTGCCGTGACGATTCGCACGCCAAGCGCGCATCCAGCTTGCTGAATGTAGCCACGCGGCAATTGCGCCGGTCTGGCGGCTGCAGCCAATAGCAGCTCGGGAGGGTGACAAGGGGTGCCACAGGTGGGCGCTCGTCGCAAGTTTCTGCCTCGCCACTCCGATAGCACTGATCACCCATGTATTTTAGGATATCACCCTTGCTAGTGGCATCCAAAACATTTGATAAACTGTAGCTGATGTTAAGTAACTCATGGTTGAATAAAGTGATGATTGAAGAGTGATATTTTTGCAACGCAATGCCAGTTTCTGAACCAACGACGAGAGGTCGAGCCGTGATGGAAGTCCATATCGCAGGTAAACAAACAGTGGCACGGGCAGTCTCGGCGAACCGACCCACTTCGTTCCCACCTTTGCTTTTTACACCGAGGTCGTCCAATAAACCAGTTGCATATGTGAAAGCGTCATATAAGTGTAAGAGCTTTTATCGTGTTGGTAAAAAGAAGCGCTCGACAATGAGCTCACGTAGAAAAGAGCGGCGCTACCGAGAACATCGGCCTTGCTAGGCCTACGCTCGAAGTTGATAATGAATGTGGGCTGTGTCGATGTTTGCCGCTTGTGAAGGCATAGCTTTGTTGGCCATGTTATTAGACAATAAGGCATGGCTGCGTGAGCTTCTTTATTTTGCACTTATTAAAGAGGATACAATGTATTCCGAGCGTGGGGACGTATGTGGGCAGAGCCTGAGCGCTAATTGCTCATTCGGTGCCGCATCGGATGCCGAATTGCACCATGTGTCTCTTGCTTCAAGCTGCGTTCTGCACGGGTTATACAAGGGGTACAAGGCCAAGAAATTTTCAAACTGCTAGCCTGCCCCTTTTTTTTTTTCGCAATGGGGTTAGGTTTTGGGCACAACTTCTCGGCTCGCTTACAAGGCGCGTTTGACCAGATAAAATGGCGACGGCACACGCCCGTTGGCCCAGTGACTGCACCGGATATGTCGCATCTGCGGTTACTATGGCAACTAACATGGTCGTCAACAACGCCAGCGCTCCCAGCACATCGAGTTTCTTCATACCCAGTAACAGCGGCATACGTTCCAGCTTCTAACATTCCATAGCCACGTTTGCCGACTAGAAAATTCGTACTTCGCATGAAGTGTTGTTGGCTTCGGCAACGCATTTTTATCTTGAAGTTATGACGTCCTGCTGATAAATATTCCACTTCGATAAGCGGACCAGCGGGTGCACCAGTTGTCACTTGATCTGGTCGATCGCATTTTGCCAATGTCTTCGCCTAATGAGCATACATCTTGCACCGTAGTTTGGGGTTAGGGTCTGCACACCTCGATCCCTGTATTGATTGATGAGGCTAAGTGCAGGTGGACAACGTGGCCTCTATTTCTCTCTCAAATTAAGGCAAGTGAAGAAATTTTGAGGCTGGTCGGGCATTTTGGTGGAGCTCAGCGCAAAAACAGGGAATTGTATTATATTGGCGCGATTGGCACAGCTGTTGTGGCTCTGCATTGAGGATCATAGGTTGCCAAAAATTGTGGAGCTCATTCAGACTCACTCACAAAATGTATTTTGCGCTTAGGACTCACTCAGACTCAGACTCGCCGAAATTTTCGTGGGGCAGACTCACCCGAACTCATGCTCCCAAAGATTTTCTTCAACCGGACTCGCTTGGACTCAAACTCACCAAAATATTACTCACTAGGACTCAGACTCATGGCTCGATCTTGGTCTGTGCGAGTGAGTCGACTCACGAGCCTTTTCGACCATGGTGTCAATGCTCCTAAACACCAATATCTCACGTAATCGGTGCTCTTTCTGACACCTTTTGATATGGTGATTTTGAGTGGTGGTAAACCAGCGAGAGCACTTTTCTTGGAAGAGAGATGTCAACATAAGATAAATTTACCAAGAACTTACCAGAACAGTTGGTGGAGGCAGAGTATAAGGCATCCTGCTACATAACTCACTCCTCTAATTCTTAAATATCGAAGTGGTGTATGAACCACACTGTTTTGGAATACTCATGAGTAGATGCGAGCACAAACATGAGTCCAGGTAAGGCTCATAGTAATGCTGAAGACGAGTGGATAGGGCCATAAGTCGGCAAACACAAGTGGAACTCACTTAGGCTCACTCAAGAAATATATCTTGCACTTTGGAATCTCTCGGACTCCAACTCTTCGAAATTTTCCTCGAGTCGGACTCACACTCACTGAAATTTTCTTCAACCAGACTCACTCGGACTCAAGCTCACCCAAAATTTTACTCACCTGGAATCACTCAGACTCAGACTCGCGGGTTGATCCGGGTCCGACTGAGTCCGAGTGGGTCGACTCACGAGTGAGTTCGCCGACCTATGTGTAAGTTGCTATGCGAAGCCTAGCTGTATACAGCGTCACCGCAAAGTTTGTAGCAAAGTGAAGTTCGCTGATATTTGTAGGTGACGGCGCCTTGGTTATCATCTCAGTGCCACTGACGTGACCTAGAAATGCCAACTATGTGACATCAAAAACATGTATGTGGTTGAGCCTGAGGCCAGCATTACAGAGTCACTTCAAAGCACCACATGAATTGCCCAAACGATGATCCTCTTGGGAGCGCCGATACATGCAAGCCGGCAGAATTTCTACGCCCTTTGGAGACTCGCGTACTAAAGCAAGCCTTGTCGAGGCATGCCTGAAGCTTCACCCAGGACAGCAAAGCAGCGGCTGCAATGGGCAAACTAAAGGTATGGACTAAGCTATGCCTTAAGTGCGTGGTGTTTTGAAATGAGAAAAAAATAAAGCACATGACACAACTAGTGACGTAGCCATAGGTCGTCAAAAAAAGTGGAACTCTGATTCACTCAAGAAATATATCTTGCAGAGCTTTGGACCCTCTCTGACTCAGACTTACAAAAAAAGGTTTTCTGAGCCCGACTCACTTAGACTCACACTCATGAAAGTTTTCTATCACCAGACTCATTCGGACTAACACTCACGGCTCTATCTGAATCTGAGCGAGCACGAGTAAGTGGACTCATGAGCGAGTTTGCCGACTTAGATGTAGCATCCACGTTACTTTTGGAGAAGTACACAGCGAGGAGTGACGAGCCAGAGCGAAAGTAGCAAAGGCAAGTGACAAATGAGCAGCCGCTGCATGGGCAATAATCAAATGCCTAAACTCTCAGTCACGGCGCCAGTTTGACGTAATTCTGGTGACGATGTTTGCCATAAACTTGAATACTAGTACTTTCACTAGTTAGGCAAATCTTCAGCCCTTACAGGGAGATGCGAGTCGAAAAACGCGTGTTTTGTTTCAAATATACCAATTTGTTATTTTCGCCTGTTTTGATAAAATTAGTACCTCTACTGTTATGAAAAAAAAAATAATGCAGGTCGAGACACAACTGGAAGTTCTTTAAAATTGCATCTAAAGAGCACAAGGTGCCTGTTAAAAGGTCGAAAGTGTGCAGTCTTCGGGCACCTTGCCGCCGATAATACGCCGCCGCTCGCCATTGTTGATCGCATTAGCCAAAAAGTCGAGCCTGACTCTTCAAGCAACAACAGTTTCCCTCGCCGATGCGGCACAAGAAATAATAAAAAGGAGCACGCTTCTCCGCGTTTTTCGAGCGCCGCGACTGGCTTATCACGTGGTAGGATCGGGGACCGCTATTGGCCGCTGCGCGCCTGTATGTTCTGTGAAACCTATTTGCGGGGTCCATGTTTTGTCGAGCAACGCAGCTGAACAATGCTTTTCTCGTGTAATTATCTCCGTTATGAATGAAAAAAGGCATTGCTCGCAAGTGAAAGCCGTGGTGCGGCGCGCTCTGTAGGAATAGGCTACGAGCAGCTGGTCCGATTTGCGGCAGTTGTTGGCTTGCAAAAGCCAATGCATCAAAAGTCATTCACACCCGTCAGCCGGAAAGTTCATGATACGGCAATGGATGACTTCAGCGCCAATCTTGAGAGGTCAAAAGAGCTCACAGTGAGAGAACTTAGCAGGGACAACATTGCATTATGTACGACGGTATGTGGCACAAACATGGCTGCAAAATGGCATCACACTGGACTTAGTTCAGATTTCGCAGTCCTGTCGAACTTATTCCTAGCTTGCAGTTGGCACAAGGCTCTGCCAGATGGAGTGGAAGTTTGGCAAGCGGTTTGTGGCCCTGTCTGTGAGCGAAATGTCTGTGAGGAGTCGGCTCGAGAAAGGCGAGAGGGAAAAACTCATGGTGCTGGCATATTTTAGTCGCAGTGGCCACTACAAGCAGGATTGTTCTTTTTGGTGTGCAAATTTCATCTGATTTAATGATATCTTTCATAAATAAAAACTCAATTTTAACTTCAAAACCCGTTTTTCTCTAAACACAAATTATGCCATTTTTTCCAATCTGCCCCTCCTTTTTCGGGCACTTTTAGTGCTCGGATCTGCATGAAATTTTAACCAAATTTTTTCCAAAGTGTGACAAATGCAATTATCTAGCTTAAATTTCAATATTTTATTGTATAACAAAAATTATATTTACGCCTTTGCTAGGGTAGATGAAATATGTACTTCTCCCGTCTATCATTTTTCTTGCATATTACATAGTTTGTATGTGCTTCTTAATTAGTTCTTTGCACTCTACACTTTATTTGAAGCATTAGGAACTATGAATGGTAAAAATTGCAGAAGTTTAGGGATGAAAAGAAGGGGGCAAAATGGTTAAGGTTTTCACTTTGTCATGTTGCAGAGCTAAAAGTGTGTAACTTGCAATTAAACTAATTCTATATTTGAAATTAGCATAAAAAGTTCCATAAACAGCTCAAGTTTCATAGCTCTAGGGTGAATATTAAAAAAAAAGTGTCTTCGAGTAGCATCTCCCCTTAAGGGAATGCAAACATGATTGTTACAAATATTCACACTGTTTTTGTTAATAACAACACTGGTGTCGAGAAATTTAAACGAGCATCAGGATGCCTGGGAAATCACATAATATGTTCAAATTACCGTTCCTTTAAAAACACTTGGTTTCTATATCGAGGAGGTGGCTTCTCAGTGACATGACATGGCAGCAACTTGTGACGTACTAGCGCTAAGTCTGTCATCTGCCAGTATTGCCCGTAAACAAAGATGAGCAAATTGTCATGCAAAGGTTCCGACAATGATGTTTGCGATTTAGGCAGCATGCAGGATGCAGTGCTGACAAACTCTGTAGAACTGTAATGACTAGGCAGGTTAATGTCCATTGCAGTTGGGCTGGCTTGCTGATACTCAGTGACGAGAACTTTAAAACCAGACACCAAAGTAAGATATTTTATACGTCTTGTCTGACTCCTGCGAGTGGAGATTGATTAATTCATATGAGGGGTTTAATGTCCTAAAAGCACCATATCATTATGAGAGACGCTGTGGTGGAGGGTTGCAGTAATTTCTACCACCTCGGGTTCTTTAACAAGCACCAAAATAAGAGCACACGGACCTACAGCATTTGCGCCGCCATCGGAAATGCAGCCGCTGGAACTAGAATTCAATCTCGCGACTTGCGACTTGCGAGCCGAGTACCTTAGCCACTAGACCACCGCGGCGAGGCTGGTGAGTAGAGAGCATCGACACTGCATACTAAGGAAACAATAAGATGTCCCTTTCCCAATTTCCTCAGATTATGTCAATACAGTAGACTCTCATTAAAAGGAACCTGAAGGGACCAGGAAGATATGCTCCATTTAAAAGGATTTCCGCTTAATGAGAAATGACCAGGTGTGCAGAATACAAGAACGAAGCAAATCTTTTAAGAATCACTTGTTCCATTTAAGCAGTAGTTCCGTTCAACAGATTTCTGTTTACTGAGAGTCTATTGTACTCCTTTAAAAGCCCTTTATGCATTATGTTCTTGTTAGTTAGGTTGAGCAGCTGGACAACAACTAATTTTGTTACTCAAGCCGTCGTTGAGTTAGCTGATCATGACTTGTTATAGAGTGCATAGATGTGCAAACACACACTGCACGATATCTTTTACATAAACATGCGATGAAAATGAGATAGCTTGCAAGCATTATTTCCGCACTTTTAACAAACACTTGTTAGAATTCATCCCTTGCACTGTTCCTTTGTTTCCTCGTCTCTGTATTTTCTGTGGCATACATAAAGATATAGCCCAGTATTCTTTCTTTCTTTGCTTTAACATTTATGGGCTAGACAATTATAGACATGAACACTACAGGAAAATTTAGTGGTTCATAATAACGTATTTACTTGATTCTACCGCGCCCTCGATTGTAACGCTCACCTGATTTCCACCGCGAAAAAAAAAAAATGTAAGACATCAATTGCAACGCGCACCCATTTTCCTCGCTGGCTCGCACAATCACACCACTCGAAAAAACGACTCCTTTCGGGAGCGTCTTCTGTTTAAATATGAGGTGCGGGCAAAGCTTGTGCCCATCTGACGTGTAACAGAGCATTGCCGTCACTGTAGTTTTACCGTGGACCGATGTCAGCACGCGAACTTGCTTCGCCCCCTTCTTCTCGAAGGTTGTGGTGCCAGGCATGTCGAAGTAAAGAGGTGTCTGATCGGCATTCCCGATTTGCGTAAGCAGGTAGCCGTTGTAGCGCCGCAAGTTTAGGACGAACCTCTGAAAACTGTGAAGCTTTTCATCGTACTCCTCCGCAAAACTTTTAGCATATGCATGTTCTGCTTCGGAGGGAAAAGCCTTTCCTCTTCATAAAGTTAGTCAGCCAGCACCTGCTCGCTTTAAACTGGCTCCGCATTAGACCTTTTTCTAAGACTAATTGCATAGCCCGCACTTGGAGCAGTTCTGTCGTCACGGGCCGCTGTGCCACTCGCTGCTCAAGCACATACTCGCCGAGCAGTTCTTCAATTTGCGGAAACCGACCCTGCTGTGGTCCACTGAAGCCTTTGCGTGAAGCTTTGCTGTCGACAATTTTCTGCTTTTGTTTCCGCCAGTCCCGCACGCACGTTTCGGGAACTCCAAACGACCGCGATGCGGCCCGATTTCCGTCCGTTTCTGCACACGCGATGACTTTTCTTTTAAAAGCGGCACCGTGTTGCACTCGAGTTTTTGGAGTCGGCCCTTCCACACCGTCGATGCTAATGCACTACTAGATGGTTGCGGAGCTTTCCCGTCCCAAAACCCCAATATAATCACGAGACGCCGTGGTAGAGGGCTGCGAAAATTTCTACCACCTGGTGCTCTTTAACATGCTCCTAAATATAAGAACGCGGGCCTCTAGCGTTCTGCTTCCATCAAAATGTGGCTACTGTGGACGGGTCTATATCTTGGGACCTTAAAGGGGAACTCGCCTATTTTTCGACATTTCCCCGATTTCAACAAAACTTTGAACAAATGTTCTCATCGGTACCATAGTGATATGTGCCAAATTACACAACTGTAAGTTTAGTTTTTTAGAAAACGAATTTTAAAAGTTGTAACCAACTCTGGAACCACACTTGTAAACATGTGCCAACCTGTGCATGTGTATATTTTCCTTCATTTTTTTCAAAACCCTGCCTCGGACAGCAGACTGATGCAGCACATTAACGATACGATGACACCGTGAGCACAATTTGGTTTTGTCATCTGCATATCACATTAGTTGTAATTAACATTGAGTCTTACACTTAGAATGCACAATATTGAGCAACGAGGAGGTTGATTCGGGGCGCATCATATGCTTCAAGCTCCTGCGGGTTGAAATCAAAAGGCGGTGCTTCTGTGTTTAGTAGCTGCAATCATCGCTGATTTTGTCACTGATAAGTTCAGACGAGCTGACACAGCTTGAGTCCATGTCGGATGACATGACGTACTTGCTTTTCGCAAGGCAGAAGAATCACCTGTGCCATGTTTACACCCAGGTCAGCCGTGGCGGCGCGTCCGTGATGTCATCGTATACACAGCCAGAAGCAGCTGCAAATTTAGGCTACTCATTGTTTCTTGGTTATTTAAAAATAGACGAGTCTCTTAGCAAAATGAACCACTCTAGCTGTTACAAGATCTGTTAACGCTATTTCAAAACCTCATAACCTCAATATGGTGAAAAATGCACCCAAGTTCCCCTTTAAATGTCAGCAGTCAAACCACATGACCACCATGCCATCGTAGCATGTGAAAAAATTGACAGTTTGCACGCTGTGAGCGTTGTACCTGGGAAGTTGCTTAGCAGCCGCTGCCTCTAGCTCTGCACTGGTCCTCTCATCATACTGCCACCAGCCGTTGCGGCCCTCGTAAAACCACCTGTAGCTCTCCTCAGTGGGGGAGTCCAGCTCCGACTCTGCATCCGGAATCAGCTCCGGCTTTTCCGTAAAGTCAGCAGGAATTTCCTAAGAAAAAAAAATGAGAGAGGCAGAGAGAAACGAAACTTTATGCCTTTCGACACGACAGCATTGAGCTTGTTTCACAAGAATACCGGTGTCGGCGGCGTCAGCATCATTGGTTAAGAGCAGAAAATCAATGTGGTCCGAGAGCGAATATTCAAGGGAGATTCAAATAAAGAAATAATAAAAAAATGTCTGGTGAAATTTGGATTGGAAATCTAAACCTGTAACCCCGGCTCTGTAGCATGATGCATTTAGCCACTAGGCCACTATGCACACATCCTCCAGCATACTTATGGCCAGCTATATTTAAAACTTGTAATGCCCCAAGTTGGGCGCCAGTGTAGCATACACGTATCCCGAAGGAGTACGGCCACTAGCGTGAGTCCAGTCTTAGCGAGCCGCAGGGCACGCGTTAATCGTCGCCGTGGCGAGAACACGGAACTGCTCAAGGTCGCAACACTATTGCCTGCGGCAACACGAAAAAACGCAGTACAGAGCCCATTGCAACATGGGCAGCGGGAAAGCAAATGGGCTTATCCACACCTAGGGCGAGAAGTACTATACAGGGTGCCGCGAGCACATCTCCTTGGGCAAAAGTGATTCACGGTGACACCGGGACAAAAGGGCCCAATCGCTCGAGCAAAGACAAACTCCGCTCTATTGACTTCCGAGAGGTACGGGTCGGCGTAGTTATGACCACGCACTAGCACACCGCATTGCTCTTCGGCCTAGCGTTCAAAAGAATGGGGGGGGGGGGGGGGGCAACAAAAGGTAGGCGTTCGCCGCGGACTAAAGGTGCCGTTGTCGACAACTGAACAAACCCCAAACAAAGGGAGTTGACGGGCAGAACGTAAATGCGTGCTTACCCCACGTTGTCCCAGAGAAGTTCTGACTCACTCCCGACGCGCGCGGAACGTCCCGAGAAGCTTTGCACACGGCGCCACAGTCGACATCCGCTACCGGTTGAGAGGGGTTAAACTTCACTCCCCGCTCCCCCAGCACGGCAGACCGCAGAGAAGGGGAGTCATGATGGGACATAAGAACGGCAGAAATAGGCGGCGGGCCAGCCTCAATTCCCACAAACTCCATCCCAAAATTTGTATTGCAGGGCTTCTAGTGTTTCAAATGAAAACAATAATCCAGCTTGATGTTTTTCGGAGCGAGATAGATGCCTTTTTAAACAATGACAGCGGACTCAAGCTGCACCTTCCCTATGAAGGCCAACCCACACAACGATTGCTGTTGAAAAATAGGCGGTCTTTTCAACCAGTCCGACCAATTGTAACCGAGGGCTTATACCGTAAAATATACTATCAAGTGTCGGTCCTCCCAGAATGGACACTTGGAAATACTTAACACTTTAATGTACAAGTTTGTTATTTTAAATTCCTTGACAGCTTATCGAGCTTCCGTGATGTTGGATTCTCTTGATTTACATCACTGAGGTATTGCATGCCCACATAGGTGAAAATTCTAGGACTGTGCAATGTGCAAGCGAAACCACGTTTAAAATTAGCAGGAACATGACTGTGCATGTTACTGCCATTACTACATGCAGCAAAAAGCCTGTTACAAGGTACTTTATAGTTTTTAGATCATCGACAATGAATCTGTTTTATAAGGCATTGCCTTCAGGAGTAGAGTGCGATAGTGTAGTTAGTCCCCGAGCACATTCCCCCCTCAATTGCTAGCCTGGCTTCGGTCTCCTATCCTAGTCTGCCTACTGCAAGTACATTTGCAAAGTATCCACAACGCCATAATTCTTGCTTCTGCGAATAGGTGAGGTACCCACTACATGTGCAGTGTACCCAATACATGTTTGTAATGCATATAGGTGAAGTACCCACTACATGTGCAGTGTACTCGCTACATGGTCGTAAGGCAAGATGTGCGATTGCACAGTTTGTGGATGCTGCCCCTAATTATTGATGGGCTTTTAGACAAAGCACTGATGCAATTCACATGTTTCGATGCCTGGTAGCGACTCTACACTTCTTCCACACAATGCTACACACGTTAACGAGACTCCTCGTACCACATGACATTCTATTAGCACTTTTTCCACAACAGTTTCAAGCTTAACAAGGAGGGGGTACCAGCTAGCTGGTGCTCCATGATGACCGACTTTTTGTGCAAAATTTTTTACGACAATAGACGCCCGTCCGTGTTTTGTCTGTTGTCTAAAAAATGTTTGCGAAAGAAATAAGTTAACAGTTTCAAGTACCAGCGTGCTTGCCATGCAAGAGTCATTCGTTCAAATTACGGCTCTGAATCAAAGCCCTTCTTTATTTATTGCAACTGTCTCGAATGTTCACCCACAGGCAATGCTAATTTTTTACTAACACCTAACAATGTGGATGCCAACACCATAATTCCTACAAAACAAGCTCTTTAATGCTATTGTGTTAATACCATACCATTTACGCTACAACATTACTTTTCCATGTTAGACTACCAGAAAACGTAGCTGCATAAGTTGCTCGATCCCCACGATAACAGAACCAAAGTGGCTGATACAGCTAGTAAAATACGGCAAAAAAAAAAACGACATTGGTACGGTACAGACCACAGGGTAAACCAGCACTCCTAAAACGCCTTGATGTGGTGCAATGGGGGTTTCCGCTGGGCTCACCTGTCGGCACATGGCACACCTCTTGCTCTGGTTGGCTATGCCCTTCACACATAAGAAGCAGAATATGTGGCCGCAGGGTAGCCGGGCAGGGTGAATGCACTTTTGCAGGCAAATGGCACACTCAAGGCTCGGAGTGGGCGGTTCTTCCTCCACATCCGCGTTTTCCAAAGCTGCAGGAAACCAAGAGAATTGAGCTTAAAGCTGGACCACTGTGACATAAGAAATGGACAAAAATCACAGGCCGTAAAGGGGCCCTGCAACACTTTTTCAAGCTGCCATCGAACGAATTACCTAAAGGAACTTATTGCGTCATAAATTCAGTGCATAATTTTTAGAATCCGTTCAGTACGAGCGAAGGTACAAAGATCTGTCACACGCTGCAATTGCATACTCCCTTCTCTTGTCCCGACGACAGCGCTGGAAGCTAAACAGGGAGGGATGGCACGCGGAAAACAAATGCATTTCGCATGTCGCATGACTGAGCACTTTCTCGCGTGCCTTTGCAGCACAGTTGAGCACACCCGCATGAACCCCCATGGCCCCCCCCGTGGTAGTTTCTGTAATGGCCAAGCACGCTATGCTCAAATCAGCCGATATCTGATACTTGACCTGGGACACAGTGATTTTTGGGACTGTAGGATCATTTGCCTAGAGAAAAGAAAACAATTTTGAACGACTTTGAGAACTTGTTGTGAACTTCAGGCCACGTGCTGCGCTATAATATTTGGCATGCGTGTTCCTGGGAGCTTTAACTACCAACAATTGGTCAAGTCAAAAAGTGTTGCATGAACCCTCTAAGAGAAAAAACGCATCCTGCAGAAATCAGACACTGTTATGAACAGCTCAACCAAATCTCACAGTCCTACACAAAAAGAAAGTTTACAAGTTGAGTGCAAAGTTACAAGATTCTCACGCGCTCTCTTTCCACACAGAAGCCTGTGCTGACTCTCGTTGGAGCCGCCAACAATGAACCCAATAACCGGTGTATGTACACAGCCGCATTTGGATCAGATGCACTTCCTGCCATGGTGTGCCACCTCATGCCGGCACCCTGCTCCATAGTCTGATAACATTACAAGGTAGCCATACTAGCACCCACAAGAATCGCAGCAGAAATGAGTGATCGCATTTTGCATTGTGCGCTCAAGATCATGACACATGCCAATGTAACTTATTTCCCCCAGCTGTCCTTCCCTGCACTTTTTCATGCATGCATGTTGGGACAAGAGCAGGCGCTTAAAGCATGCAACAAATACCTGTAATTCCGCTCGTTTTGATGCATTCCAGAAATTTTTCTGGCAACAGATTCGTGAGGCAATAAACTTTAATGTTGAGGTTATAACAATAATATCTGAAATTTTGCGTTTCAAAACCACAGTATGCTTACATTTCTCACCAATACGGTGTCGCAGCACCCTATAGGTGAGCTCCAAAAATATTGACCATCTGTTTTCTTTAACTTGCACCAACATTGCACAGTGCACAGGTCTCTAGCATTAAATGTTCTTGCGATTTGCTCTTTCGTTATTCGCATTTTAGCTTTTTCTTTGTATTAACATAGGAGGTCTTACTGGCCAGTTTAGTACCTTGGGACCTCCTCCTGCATACTTACTCACAATGTACATTTCTGACACTAATAAAGAAACATTAATTGATTGATTGATCTCGCCTCCATCCGAATGTGACCGCTGCAACCGGGATCGATTCCGTGACATTCGGTTCAGCAGCTGAGTGCTATAAGCACTGCTCAATCGCAATGAACCTGAGGTCGTTCTATGAATCCTTGACAAAGTGGTTCATAAAAAGTGATATTTTTCACACACTGCAGTTACTTCGAGCACATACAGTAGTCAAGAGTGTCGACTTCATGCATTTGCCACTATGAGGAGCAGGTACCAGGACATTACAGGGGAATCTATGTGAACACAATGCATCCTGGGGTTTTACATGCTGGACATAAAGTCTGTTGCAAAGTGCACTGCAGTGCATAACTTTAACTACCTCGGTCTTCTTAACCTCTTCAAATTTATCCAGGAACACTACTAGTACGGATAGAATCACAGTCTTGAGCAGCGGCGTGCATGGCTGTCGACACTGTTGTTGGCCGCAGCTTCTTACCACCTATTACCTCCAAGCTTCCATTCATGCTTTAATTATAGCACAAAAACCTAACCTATGTGTGGTATCATTATGGCAGTCGTTCTTTGCACATTTCTGCTGAAAACAGCAGCTGCAGTGGCCAGCTGGGCAGACTAGACAGGTGTGATTCCATCTGTATACTAGAGCAGCCACTTCAGCAAGCATGCTAACCTGGAAGCTAGTTTAAGATATGCAACTACTGGTTTATCGCTGCTAGTTAGCTGAGAAATTTAATGCATCCTGATATCCTAGTACACAAGCTAGAATCATGCAGGCAACGGAGAATTTTTTTAAGCAGCGCGAAATAACGTTTTTAAAATTTTCAAGTGCATGATCGAGTTGTTATCTGTGCGTAAAAGATTAAGCACTTCACGCTGCACTAAATAAAATGACTGTTTCAAATTCACTATCTTAATTTTACAGAACCAACAGAGGTAGTAAATATCCATCTGACGACAGTTCGATTAACAGTGTATCGCACCGAATAAATGTAAAATGCACCACAGACAAATTTATACCCTATCGGAGAGGTAAACCCTTTTAACGACGCAGAATAAAACGACAGACGCGATCGAGTAGAGCTTCGCAAAATCTTCTGTTGAACAACTTGACAAGCGACAGCGTAGCAAGCGCATCGTTTACAAGGCCACGAACATTAGTTCGCGAGTACAGAGATGCACAGGCACTGATAGGCTTCATAAAACGGCTACAAAGGGGACGCGTGCGCGAGCTCTTCGACAGACGCGGAGAGATGCTACGGCGCTGGTTATCTTTGGGCAGCACTGTTCGCGTGTGCGCAAAACGTGCACGATACGACGCATTGACTCACACAAGCTTCGTTTGTTTCCAAGTTTCGAATCGGTCGCTGAAATAGCCGAAGAAATCAGCAAAGGGAGATCGTTTAGCGACCCATGTAACCTGCCTACGCCCGTTTACAAGCGCGGGTTAGTACACAAGCGTTGCGTAGCCAGTGCTTACGGTATTTCACGCTTCGTATCATCCCAAAAACAGCGTTAGTAGGTTAACTATAGACTACAGCAGGAGGCGAGAATGTGATTACTGTAACGCCGTTCACTGAACCAGTTAGCACCGACTTTCCGCATCATAACTCCCGACAAACTACTAACCATTGAGGTCCGCCGGACTACTCGCAACGCTGACTTGCGTTGAACCTAAAAAGTAGATACGCGGTTGGAAATCTCTTTAAAAGACCTCAATCACACGGATGCGCCCACGACTTTTATACCACGGAGAAGTGCTACCAACGACGCGTGAGCCAAAACAGCTTCAAATGAACTCACCCTGAGAAGTTCCCATCGGCTCTCGGGGTTCACCCATGCTTCTTCGGCGCTTCCTAGAACTTCACAGTGATGCGATTTTTCACTCTTGTGGAACACTAATCATTTCGTTCCTCCCACGGAGCTAGCACCTAAACGGAGGCAATTTTGAACCCGTACAGCGAGGCAAAACAACACGGCAAACACAAATGGAAAACGCGGTTATTGTTACCTTCGCTGTTATTTTGCTGGGATGGCCCAGCAGCCAGTCGACACCACGCGATCTTGCCGTGTCACGAACGCCAATTTATCTCTCGGCGGGGTCACATATCCACTAATTATTGTGTATATTAAAGTGTATTAAATGAAACGAACATTTAAGCAGTTGCAACGATGCTACAACAGCTCAAATTATTAGTGTTGGGGTCGTGTTGACCTTTATTAAGTTTCACCTTAGTTTCGCTTCTGCACCCGTCGAAATAGCTGGCGCTCGTTGTCTCTTTAAATAAAATTCTCCTTTGAACGCGTCATGCATACAACGGAATTACAAAGATTATTTTTTATGAAATAAAATTTATGCGGAATACTTTGGGGTCACCTGGGTATTTATTGACGGGACTAACGCGTGCCTAGGGCGCACTGCTATCGAGGCTTTTCCTCGGCCAGTCCTCACCGACATTGCTCACACCTCAAGGCACCTTCGAGCTGTGAGATGGCTTTCGTTTCTGCACGATTTACCGGCGCATTCGCCAAACAACTGGTCAGGGGCGTTGCCAAGTACCCGACGCGCTGCACCGGCGTGAGTTCGTACGTCGCTCGACACTTTTCCACCACGAAATGTGTGTCAGCCGGTCCCGGTGCCGCAGAGGTGTCCTCCATCTTGGAGGAACGCGTCCTGGGCCAGGCGACCACGGCCAACTTAGAGGAGACCGGACGCGTTCTGTCCATCGGTGACGGTATCGCCCGCGTCTACGGACTCAAGAACATCCAGGCCGAGGAGATGGTGGAGTTCTCCAGCGGCCTTAAGGGCATGGCCTTGAACTTGGAGCCCGACAACGTCGGTATCGTCGTGTTCGGTAACGACAAGCTCATCAAGGAAGGTGACATTGTCAAGCGGACAGGTGCCATCGTCGACGTGCCGGTCGGACCCGAACTTCTGGGTCGCGTCGTGGACGCCCTGGGCAACCCAATCGACGGCAAAGGACCCGTGGCCTGCAAGGGCAGGGCCCGCGTCGGAGTCAAGGCGCCCGGCATCATCCCCCGAATCTCCGTCAAGGAGCCCATGCTGACGGGCATCAAGGCTGTAGACAGCCTGGTGCCCATCGGTCGTGGTCAGCGTGAGCTCATCATTGGCGACCGTCAGACGGGCAAGACCGCCATCGCCATCGATGCCATTATCAACCAGAAACGCTTCAACGAAGGCTCGGACGAGAAGAAGAAACTGTACTGTATCTACGTCGCCATCGGACAGAAGAGAAGTACCGTCGCGCAGATCGTCAAGCGGCTCACGGGCGCCGACGCCATGAAGTACACAATCATTGTCAGTGCAACGGCATCGGACGCCGCCCCGCTGCAGTACCTGGCTCCTTACGCCGGGTGCGCCATGGGCGAGTACTTCAGGGACAACGGGATGCACGGCCTCATCATCTACGACGACTTGTCCAAGCAGGCTGTCGCCTACCGTCAGATGTCTCTACTGCTAAGGCGACCTCCCGGTCGTGAGGCCTACCCAGGAGACGTGTTTTACCTCCACTCGCGTCTTCTGGAGCGTGCTGCCAAGATGAACGACTCCTTCGGAGCTGGCTCCCTCACTGCTCTTCCAGTCATCGAAACCCAGGCCGGCGACGTGTCCGCCTACATCCCGACCAATGTTATCTCCATCACAGATGGCCAGATCTTTCTGGAAACTGAACTCTTCTACAAAGGCATCCGGCCCGCTATCAACGTGGGCCTGTCCGTCAGTCGTGTAGGGTCGGCCGCCCAAACCAGGGCCATGAAGCAGGTTGCCGGTTCTATGAAGCTCGAGTTGGCGCAGTACCGAGAGGTGGCTGCATTCGCACAGTTTGGCTCGGACCTCGACGCCGCCACGCAGCAACTGCTCAACCGGGGAGTCCGTCTGACGGAGCTCCTGAAGCAGGGCCAGTACAACCCGATGGCCATTGAGGAGCAGGTGGCGGTCATCTACACGGGCGTGCGCGGCTACCTCGACAAGATGGACCCCTCTAACATCAACCGCTTTGAGCAAGAGTTCCTGCAGCACATCAAAGCCACGCAGAAGGACCTCTTGGCCACCATTGCCACAGAGGGCAAGATCAGCGACGAGACTGATGCAAAGCTAAAGAAGGTCGTCACGGACTTCATGGCGACGTTTCAGCAGTGAAGAGGTAGTGAGGAACTGTGCCTAGCCATTCCGGGGTGCCTCCCCTGCCAATAGACCGAGGGTGGTTTCAGAGGGAACACAAAGTGCGACTTTGTCAGAGAGGTTTTGTTAATAAATAGTTTTACCATACGAGAGTGGAGTGTTTGGCCACTGTGCTTATTTCAGTGGCTGACTTGTAGTGGTTCCAATCGGTGGACATTTTCATGGTCCATAATTAAATGCATAAATGTGGGTGCACATTTTTGCTGATTGGTTCGTAATTATAACAAACCAGGACGAAGGAAGCTCACACCACTGGTGCTGTGGTCAGTGTCTTCTAGCAAAAACAAAAATCTCTTGGCGGCAATAGTAGCAAAATTATCCCGAAGAGTGCGGCCTAGCAGTTGCACCCTGTCAGCTCTGTGATTAGATATAGATGTTTTTTTGCAAGCAATAAGGAATGGAAAATGGTGCGTAGGCACATGGCCTACGCACCATTTTCACCTTGGGATGATGACCTTCACTTACTGAAATGTGCAGGTGCTAACACAAGCAGATTTCACTGAATATGGCCACTTCTGTAATGACACTCATCAGCAGGTGCCACACGGTATGCTGTAATCAACAGTTTGGCTTAACGGATAAATGGACAGATGAGGAAGACAATGCCAGCACAGTTTGTCTTAACCAGGAAGCCCCTTTGCCTAGTGCATGGCTCTGCACTCGCCGAATGTTTTGCAGTCCAGACAGCCTTTTTGTGGTTTGGGGGCTGCCATGATGGCATTTAGCATCCCCAACTGAAAACCCTGTGCACGCCTATGCATATGCGTGTGACTGTCCTTGGGTATAGGTGCCCATTAAAGAATTCCAGATCCTCAAAACTAACCAAGGAATCCTCCACTGTAGTGTGCTTCACGATAGTATTGTGGTTTTGGGTGGTTACAAGACACTAAAGAACGGTAGCATTATCGATAGGATCACAAAACTTACACTTATGTTGCTGTTCATTTCGTAAAACAGTACTTTGTGATAGCATGTCTGGTTGAAAAGCAATGTTCTTTTATTGAATATTGCTCAACTAGTTATATGTGTAGAGGAGCCATGGAATTTTACATCAAGATTCATAAGAACATGAGAGGTCAAGTTTCCCTCTTCAGCAAACATCGCAAATGTAGGAATTGCAAAGCTCAAGCAAGAGACAATAGTTGCACTCTTTTATTCACAGTTGGCTCAAAGGCCCAAGCCACATTGCAAGGTTTAAGGCACCTAAATGTTTATGGCCTTCAAGCAGCACTGACACGAAATTTCGAAGGAAAGATAATGAGTATGATAGATTTACACAATGAGACTTCTACAACATCTGCGAAATATCAAGGGCAAATGTAGTCTAGAACATAAAATCAATTTTATTGTGCACGCCACGCGACTGAGCAAGATGCGGAGCCTCTCTCGATGCCAACATCAACACAACGGGAGTGTAAACAAACCTACGTCATGAGTTTGTGTTGGCTGATTGCTGGCACGCGCCTTGCGCTTGCACTACCTGCAATTTCTTCCTCCAAGCCTGCCGCTTTACGTGTGATGACTGAGCTGGCTGTCAGTCCGGCGGCCGCTTACACATGCTTTCTCTGCGCGCACCGCCACGTCGCAGTTTCGCATGGTCACGTGGCCAGCTGTGTTTACTTTGCTACCGGAACTGCGCCTGCCCAGCTCGACGCCCTTTGAAACCGAAACTGTGACGGGGCGCTCCAAGAACATCTCGTGAACGTGGTATTAAGCTTTGATGCTGCAAAGCATATCCATGTGGCACCCATGAATAGCATTAAATTTTAAGGTGACGTTAAAGTTATCGTGAAAACAACAGCGCGATAAATGATGGACTAACGCACGGAGACAAAAACCTGTCTGTCTCAGTCCGTCGCCTTTTGCGCTGTTATTTTCACTAGCCCGAGTCAACACCATTGTGACATTAAAGTAAAATGCCAAATCAGCTTAGACTGGTAAATTGAGAATCCATCGCCATTATGTCTTGTGGCTATAAGTTCATTAGTGAAAGAGAAAATGAGGGTCAGAGCTTCATTTTTTAATTTCACAAACAAAAGCTTAGCATATTAATGTTGGTGCAATAACAAGGAGGAGGAGGAAGGGAAGAAATAAAAGGCAGGGAGGTCAACCAGACGCACGTCCGGTTTGCTACCCTGCACTGGGGGAAGGGGTGAGGGGATTAAAGGAGAAGAGAGAGAGAAGTGAAGGGCAACGTGTGTGTAGATGTGACCTTGTCCATTGAACGCTAATAAGCGGTCGTGTAGTCCGGTCGTCCTTAGAACACTTAGCAGTGCTCGCGTCGCTTTGCTGGCCAACATTTCAAAGCTTCCAGTGATGCAACCGAGTACTTCTGCTTTAGAGCAGTTTCTGGGGCAGCAATATTTTCATTTTGGAGCACAAAGGTTTTGTAACTAGGGGCGCTGTGGAGTCGCTGCTATCACATTTTGAAAGGGCTGCTAGACCAATATATTTTTCTAACTGTGGAGTCGCTGCTATCACATTTTGAAGGGCTGCTAGACCAATATATTTTTCTAACATTTAAAGTAAACATGCACATCGTGTGCAGAATGCCCACAATTCTACACGTGGCAGCACTACGAGACGCCAGCGCACTGCAAATTCAAGGAAACAATCCCTCCTCCTCTCTGGACCTTTTGGGCCTCCGCGTGATGCTTATAACTTGAATCTCCGATGCACAGCACATTGATGCTGTGATTGGTTGAGCAAGAGCCTACGAATTCCAGTAAGTCTGTACGCAGCTGTTCATGCTGTTAGTTGTCCATCGTGTTACCCCGTGTGTGGGCTAGCGAATCGGCTTCTGCTGCCCATAACACGGGGTCCACACTGAACAGTTCGTATAAGCACGAGCCGGCACGGCAGCAGCGGTTTGCCAACAAGCATGCAGTTGACGGAAGCACAGAGTCGCAGCAACCGTTAAGTAGACAATGTTTCGAGTGGGGCTTTGGCGATGACGTATGCTGCACGAGATTGGGAGGGGTGCTCGGCGAGAGGGCTAACCGGCTTTGGGAGAGGATACTAATGGAGGGTAGCGAAGGAGAGAGCAAGAGGAGTGACTGGCGCGTTTCGATAATCAAACGCGTCTAACTCCGCTATTGCCCCACCATATTGAAAAATTCTCATGGGTCCATGGTCGTCGTACACTCGTGTTAACTTCCCCACAACTGAATTACGACCTCTGGGTGGTTTAGTGGCCCTTTAAAGTACATTGAAGAAGAAAGTTACGTTTACATTAACACCTGAATAATTATTATAAACAGTTGTGATGCATCAATAGCTCGATTCACAACCTATCTCAAGAAAAAAAAACGCTCTGTAGAGCATACACTATTTCACTCGATAATTAAAAAAATGCCATCATGTAATGAATAATACAAAACAGCCTCCGCCACCATTTCATCATAATATTGTGATAATAATATAGACATTTTTGATGCATTTTTGCATTTGTACAGTGCTGTGAACACAATATAGCACACTTTGGTGCATATGGCACACAAGTGGCTCAACAAAATTTTTTCAAACTTGCCACGTGAAGTCATTGGCTCTGCCATAACACTAAGCGATTCATATTTAGCTTAATTGTAATAATTTCACTTGTAGCCCAAATTATTTGTAATAAGTCATGCCTACGCACAAGGTCAAAATCAACGATGTCCCAGCAAAATCAATTAATACTACCTGCATATCCATTTTGTGCTTTTTGTGGCGTGTCAAACGTCTCGCTGCAAGTGTGGAGCTTCTGATCTTGAAAATTCGCCAGCCCAAATGAAATTACCTTTGCCTTTCAGTGCTCTATTTAAGGGCGTCCCATTGTTAATGTCCTCTATTGTGCTGACATGAAACTAGTGTGATAATACGAGATATAAATAGAAAAACCTTCCAAAAAAAAAAGACAAAAATGATGTAGTGTACGTTAACTTCAGCCACACACTATGCCAGGCAGCACTAAACGTGTTGCATTTCTTCTTTCGAGAGCAACAAACCTAAGTTATGCTTGCAGGCACAGTCCCCACTTTTTTTATTGCCTTAACCGACGCAAATGAAAAAAAAAAAATAAGTGAAAACACAGATCGACTGTAGAAAGCTTGCATCAGTAGAGGGTTTGCTAGCCTCTGTCCAGTGCCGCATTGTTCGCCAAAGTGATTCTGCAAAGTCATCCATGCTTGTGAAGTCAAAAGTCTATTTGTTTCACGTATCGCCACTGGCTGTAGAATGCCGACCTTTGGTCAATTACATCACCTGCAAAGAAGTAAACACATGCAGACACTGAAAACGCTGCACATAACAAGTAAATTTGACAGAGCGTAGGCTTGGACACGTTGGAAGTTCACTTTACAATTTTTGTACACTGTAGGAACAAGGAGGAGGACAAAATAACAACACCAACACAGCCCTGTGTCCATGGATGGCTAGTTACTTGCCTCGGTGATAACGCCAGCGGCCACGGTGCTGCCACCCGACCGAAGAGTGATGCGGCCGAGCTCCTTGAATTCCTTGTAGAGTTCCACGCATATTGGACGGCTCACCTTGATTTCAACCAGGCCACTCGTGTTCTTCACCAAACACCTGCATTATCAAAAACACACAAACTTTGGTGCAATGAACACAGTCATGCAGCTGCACCTCATTATAGTGAACACTCATATGGCAAATTATCGGCTATAGCAAATTAAATACAAACGCTGGTTAGCAGCTCTTTTTTTATGACATTTCATATAATGAAACAGAAGACACAAGAGATGTCGCAATACATATAGGCTGTAATGAAAGAACAGTTCATTATCATGAAGCTGACAATTCTAAAGGAAACATAAACAGTAAAAATAAAGGTAAAAAAAATTCACAACCTCGTTTATTTTTTAATGCACTTATGACCTGAAAATTTTGTTTGAAAAATGTGGTTAAAAAGTCACTTTCGGTCATCCACTGCAAAAGTACCACATTGTGCTGTTTCATTCTACTTAGAATGAAATAATACAAGAGGACAGGTAAAGATAATTTTCTTTAAAACGAGTTTGACGCCTAGAATAATGCGTTCTTGTACAGGATTTTCGTGTAAGTTGGATTGCCAATTTCTTATAGCAAATTTTTATATGTACAGCTACAAAATTCATGGGTCTCGATGCCATTTCGTTACAATATTTGACTGCGACAAAGTTCTATTCATGGTGGAGTAAATTAAAAGCAGTCATTCTGTTAATACTATGTTAAGAGTACATGCTTACAACAAATTCTTTAATATAGCAATTATGTCAGAAGCAATTTTGCTGTAACGACATTTGACATTAGTCAAGTTTAAGTGCAGCAAATAAGGCATGTAAACTAACAACACACAAACAAAAGCACAAACAGAGAAGACAATGCACTACTGACAACAAAATATTCATTTGGAAAGTTATAACACCTTGACATATCTTGACATATCTTTAGTCATAAACAAAAAACAGGTAATGCCTAGGAAAAAGAAAGATAGAAAGTTATTTTGCTTGAACACCCAAAATGCCTACCATGTGTTTATATGGCCTCTACTGAAGAACAAGAGTTATCAAGAAGTGGTAAGGAAGCTGGAGCACTACACCCTCTTCTTTTTTTTTTATTTGATCTATCTATATGCAAACATGTAAGAAATGTTCGAAACGTCATACATGGACAAAAAAATGTGGGAGCTCACACTAGCGCTGCAAGGCTGGACTAACTGCCGAGCTTGTGGCCAACCTATTTAATTAGCAAGGTCTTAATTATCCCAAATTGAATTAGCAAGATAACAAATATGGCCCTGTCACGTGCTGCTAGTGCTCACCCAGCTTTGAGAACGAAGTGAATGCAGGTGTGAGGCGGCACGCATGAGCCATAGAATAAAACAGTTGATTTTCGCATTCAATGTAGCAGCATCCTTCTTCTACCCGTCCACTACAGTGGTGACTCTGGACCGTGAAATAACAATCCAGAAGATTCCACCGGACACACGCACCGAGCTAACCAACCTCTGACCTGCCGGTCACTATGGCACGACGACCACGGCACCCTGCATCCTTTTACCACTGGAATTTCCTAACTTTTGGCCAGAAAGCCCAGCCATTTGGCTCCACAAGATGGAGGCTGGTTTCTAACTGTGCAACATCGTCTCTCAGCAGGACTGCAGCGGAATGGTAGAGAAAGAAGGATACTGCTACATCGAATGCAAAAATTAACTGTTTTACTCGATGGCTCGTGCGTGCCACCTTGCACCTGCATTCTATTCATTGTCGTTGCTACGTCCGCGCCAGCAACACGTGACAGCCCCAATTACTAAGTACCTAATTAGCAAGACCTCAGCATGTTTCTAACCAGCAGTTTTTATTAGACTATTTAGCACCACATTAATTGGTCAGGTCTTAATTATCTTGATCTTAGCATAGCTTGACCTTACTGGCTTGACTAAGCATGTAGACCAACAAAGAACGTCAAGAGGGTGAAGAGAGCCACAGTGTGTGCCGACCAATGATGAGGATGAAAGTATCTTGTTGACAACGCACGGGATAATAGAAACCGTAACAGCTCTGCTGTAAACACTACCATAACCTACATACACTTTTAAGATCACAAAGTGCCTCGTCTAGACTACCGAACCAAAAGTCATGACTGGCAGGTGGCGTTCAGTTCCTACCTCGGCTTGTTGCGCACCACTTCACCCGTGACCTTGTTCAGCTGCGATATTATGCGATGGATGGAAGCCTGCTCCGTCGTGCTCTGGTAGTGGAGCACAACGGGGAATCCCCTAGTCAGGGGAACCTCGATGTTAAACACCACCAGACGTGCTTGGAACCGCGTCGACACCCGAATTGGCACGGCCGGATCACAGAGGAAGCTTCCATGTAGTGACCTAGTAAACACCCGGAAGGTTACTCGGACTGATGGTAATCACAGCAGAACAGTGTTGCTGACATAACAAAAAAACTGCTAAATAGTGCATTTTTAAAGGCGTGGTGTCACCAAACTTTTCAGCTATAAAAAGGCTGCTGTAGATTTTCTCTATATGCAAAGACACTCAGAATGAAATGCCAGTCACAGTAAACATTTAGAACATATTTTAATTCACTTCCAAAGTGTGCCTAAATGCTCCTTCTAGTGATTGAGACACCGGAGTCGATGAGTAGAAAGCGAAATGAAAGTTTTGATGATGTCAGACTATTTAGAGTGAGGTGCAAACCCACAGCTCCACTGCACCACGCACGACAGGACTACATTGGCTGCGAACCTACACTAATTTTTCCTCAGCGTGATGCTGAAGCAGCCAAACTTACTTGCATTTTGCAAAGTGCTCTGCATTGCCACACAAACATGTAAAAGCAACTCAAGAAAATTCAGTTATTTGCACACTTCTTTACTTAAGCATACTGGGTTACAGTAGCCATAAAAGTGAGGCCACCTGTTGGCAGAGCCACCTGTCAGCCTTAGGTGGATCAGGCAAGGACAGAATCGCGGCAGAAATCTAACACATCTCTCCTGGTGTAAATTCTCAGCAAATAGTAATTCCAAACTCGTGGCCTTTTCTAAAACATTTTTTTTTTCTACCGTTACTAGGCAACAACAGAAAACGCACCAATACTTTTAGTTGCATGAAGCGTCACAAGATGTTGTACATCGTTCAGTAAACCAGAACTTCGCCAAGATCTCTGCATCTACCATAATATTGTACACCCTAATATTCTTTGTTAAAAAACTTCAATGAGTTTTGAACGCATTTGGATGGTTGTTTGTGCATGTGTGTGTGTGAGTAAATGATTCAGCACTGCATTCATCACAGCTTTGAGGGCTTTGTCCAAGCTTCCTACACAGTGACGTCACCGTGCACATTGGAAACCAAATGCCATTCATATAAATAGGGCAATATCAAAACATTTAGGAAGCATACACGAATATTGAAATATGTGTAGTGGAGCATACGCATTAACGCGTATGCGCCTTCGAAGAGAACGAAAAACCCGCACTCTGATTGCCCGAGAACCTGTGCCACCTTGCCAGACTTGCCGTATGGCCATTTTCCGTTTGGCACGATGGTCGTGCTCTTCGTCACTCCCGTGCGGGGGCGTACGTCGCGCGCGTTGGTTCTCTCTCTGGCGCTGATTATGCCTGCCGGGTACAGCAGTGGCAGTGTGACGCTTGCGGGTGGCCATCACAGTGAGAGCGCCACATGTCGATGTTGAGGGAGTCGCCACACTAGCCTTAATTGATACTGGGCCCACCGTTTCTGTGATGAACTGCAAAACTTTGTCGGAAACTGAAGAAAGTGCCACATCTCTCTGTGGCATGGTGCTGTCCACGGCTAGCGCACAACGCATTTATCCGTCGGCTGTGTGTACGGCGCACGTCGTCATCCAAGGCGTTTTGTACGTCGTTCAATTTTTGTTCTACCATCTTGCTCTCATGACCTCATCCTGGGTTGGGATTTTATGTCATGAAGTAGTCATCGATTGTTCCTGTGTGAAAGTGTCCCTTGTGCCAACTTGTGAATTTCCATCGCCCGACCTGTTCTCCTCTGCTCTGCAAACTCATCCGTTGACGATGACACCACCTTGCCTCCGGAAGCTTCAGTCCCTATTAGCCTTTCATGTGTGGCGCAACCTGACGTCACGGTGGTATTTACGCCATTTACGGTTTTTACTGAACGCAAGGGCATCGTTCTACCATTTGCCGTTCTTACAATTGCGTCTGATTTAACCGTAATGCTGGTTACAACCACTGCAACTACACCATTGGCTTACTCCTGTGGTGAAACTTTAGGATATGTACAACCTGTCGACCATATCGATGATATTATTCTTCCCAACGAAACCCCATGTCACATTGCCCAATCACTCATGCGTCTGAGCCATCAAGTTCGTCAGCCTTCGACAATGCTATTGACGCAGACCTTCACCCCTCGCATCGCCGCCAACTTGTTGCTCTCCTTAACAAATTTCGTTCTTCTTTCGACTTTCAAGAAACTGCTTTGGGCCGCACCACGACTGTCACTCATACTAATGACACTGGCTCACATTTGCTTCTGCGACAGCGTCCTTACCGCGTTTCCTGCCGAAGAGCGCCACGTCATTACGAAGCAAGTAGATGACGATGACATGCTTAAACGTGGAGTCATACAGCCTTCTCAAAGCGCTTGGTCATCACCTGTGGTTCTGGTAAAGAAAAAAGATGGCACAGTTCGATTTTGCATGGACTATCGCCGCTTAAACAAGATTACGAAGAAAGATGTCTACCCGCTACCACGAATAGACGAGGCTCTTGACTGTTTACAAGGTGCTGAGTACTTTACATCCTGGGATCTGCGTTCTGGGTATTGGCAGGTGCCAATGGCTGAATGTGATCGCCCTAAAACATCCTTTGTAACCCCGGATGGCCTATATGAGTTTAAAGTCATGCCATTTGAGCTCTGCAACGCGCCTGCGACATTTGAGCGCATGATCGATACCATCTTGCGTACCCACAAGTGGAAAACTTGCTTGTGTTACCTGGATGACATCGTAGTCTTTTCAGCTGATTTCCCGACACATCTTGGTTGTCTCCACGAGATTCTGACGTGACTAACTTCGGCAGGCCTACAACTTAACACCAAGAAGTGCCACTTCGCAGCACGAAAACTAACCACCTTGGGACATGTCATCATAAGAGACGGTGTTCTTCCGGATCCCGATAAGCTTCAAGCTGTCGCTGACTTCCCAATTCACACATCACTGAAAGCCCTAAGAAGTTTTGTTGGTCTCTGCTCCTACTTTTGTCGCTTCGTGCGCAACTTCGCGTCCATCATCGCACCTTTGACGAGTCTGCTTTCCAACAGCAAAGGCATATCTGCATGGTCACCTGCATGTGACGACGTATTTCGCCAGCTGCGCCGCCTGCTCACCTCACCACCTATTCTTCGTCACTACGACCCCACTGCTGCCACATAAATTCACACCGATGCAAGTGGCGTCGGTCTTGGTGCAGTTTTGGCGCAACGGAAAGGCACCCAAGCCGAATACATAGTCTCTTATGCAAGTCGCACTCTCAAGAAGGCTTAATTGAATTACTCTGTGACAGAGAAGGAGTGTTTGGCCATAATCTGGGCGTTGACAAAGTTTCGGCCGTACCTTTATGGCCGTCCTTTCGACGTGGTCACAGACCACCACGCTCTATGTTGGCTGTCCACCTTGAAAGACCCGTCCGGACACCTGGGGCGTTGGGCACTTCGATTGCAGGAATACGACATCCGTGTCGTATATCGTTTCGGTCGCAAACATGTGGATGCCGATGCACTTTCCCGATTGCCATTAACACCAGATGTGGCTTCTCTGTCACCCCTTTTTACCACCTTGTCACCACTTGACACCACTGACATGCTTTCGGAGCAGCGTAAAGAGCCATACCTTGCCTTGTTACTCGACTACCTAACCGATCCGTCTGTTGTCCCTTCCACGAGAGCGCTACGCAAGCAAGCAGCCCACTTTTCCCTGCGAGACAACATTCTGTACCACTACAACTACATGCCTGGTGGTTGGAAGTGGCTCCTTGCTGTCCCTACATCTGCATGAATTTCTATGTAGATCCCCAAAGTGCTCACGCAGGTGTCCTGAAAACCTAAGAAAGGCTGCACCAACAATATTACTGGCGAGTAGTGCATCGCTTTGTGCAGAAATACGTTCTGTCTTGCACCACTTGCCAACAGAACAAGACACTTCCATGGCACCTTCTTGGCATGTTACAGCCGCTCCCATGCCCGGCTCGCCCATTCGACCGCGTGGGTATCGACCTCTATGGCCCCCTCCCATATAGTGGCTCTGGAAACTGGTGGATTATTGTCGGTTTCGATCATCTGACATGCTACGCTGAGACTGCAGCTATACCGGCAGCGACCGCCCACGAAGTTGCATTCTTCATTCTCCACAGCTTCATTCTATGCCATGGTGCTCCACGGGAAGTATTCAGTGATAGGGGTCGAGTGTTCCTGTCTGAGGTCATCCAAGCTACCCTCGCTGAATGCAACATCATCCACCGGAAATCTACCGCATACCATCCACAGACAAATGGTCTCACTGAGCGGTTCAACCGTACACTTGGCGACATGCTGAGGATGTAAACCTCCTCTGACCACACTAACTGGGACGCTGTATTACCTTTTGTTACCTTCGCTTATAACACCGCGATGCAAGCGACTACCGATTTTTCCCCGTTCTTTCTGTTGTACGGCCGCGAACCTTCCCACCCACTCGACACTATACTCCCATACCGCCCTGATGCATCTGAGTGCTCCCCGCTTTCGGAAGTCGCAAGATACGCTGAATACTGCTGTCAGTTGGCTCGGTCTCTGACAAGTGAAGCTCAAGGTCTACAAAAGACTCAACATGACAGCGTTCATCACATAGCTGCTACGTTTCGTGCTGGCTCCCTTGTGTGGCTTTGGGTGCCCCCGCACGTTCCTGGCCTTTTTGCTAAACTTCTGTCCCGATACCATGGTCCGTACCGTGTCATTTATTTATTTATTTATTTACAGGTACCTCAAAGACCCCAATGAGTGGGGTTTTACATGAGGGGTGTTGAAGCACGAAAATTACACAACTGAACAACAAACACAAAAAAAGAAAACAAAAATTGCACAAGCGTATCACGAAAGGGTATCAAGCACGCTCTGTTAATAAAAAGCGTACAATGCCAACCAACGAAGCATACCAACGAAGCATAAAAAGCATACAATGCCAACCAGCGAAGCAGATAACACCACCAAGAATAATCGCATACATGACACAAAAATAATCAGAACAGAAGTTTTTCAACGGCAGCTTTGAACTGAGCCGGGTTTGTTTTGGTGACGACACTTTCAGGAAGGCTGTTCCATTCGATGGCTGTCAG